CTCCAGTGGTCTTTGGTGATCTCCAATGCTTTTTGAGGTCTCCAAAATGCTTTATGGGATCCACCAGTGGTCTTCGGGGTTCAACGGTGATCTTTGGTGATCTCCAGTGGTCTTTGGGGCTCTCCGAAATGCTTTTGGGGTCTCCAGTGATCTTTGAGGCCCACCAGTGGTCTTTGGGGTTCTCTAATGGTCTTTGGGGCTCTGAAATGCTTTGGGGTCCACCAGCGATCTTTGGGGTCCACCGGTGATCTTTGGTGATCTCCAGTTGTCTTTGGGGCTCTCTGAAATGCTTTTGGGGTCCACCAGTGATCTTTGGGGTCTACCAGTGATCTTTGGGGTTCTCCAATGGTCTTTGGGGCTCTGAAATGCTTTGGGGTCCACCAGAGGTCTTTCGGGATCTCCAATGGTCTTTGGGACTCTCTGAAATGCTTTGGGGGTCCACCAGTGATGTTTTGGGATCTCCAGTGGTCTTTGGGGTCTACCAGTGATCTTTGGTGATCTCCAATGGTCTTTGGGGCTCTCCGAAATGCTCTTGGGGTCTCCAGTGATCTTTGAGGCCCACCAGTGGTCTTTGGGGTTCTCCAATGGTCTTTGGGGCTCTGAAATGCTTTGGGGGTCTCCAGTGGTCTTTGGTGATCTCCAATGCTTTTTGAGGTCTCCAAAATGCTTTATGGGGATCCACCAGTGATCTTTGGGGTCTACCAGTGATCTTTGGGGTTCTCCAATGGTCTTTGGGGCTCCAAAATGCTTTGGGGGTCCACCAGTGATCTTTGTGGTCCACCAGTGGTCTTTTGGGATCTCCAGTGGTCTTTGGGGTCCACCAGTGATCTTTGGTGATCTCCAGTGGTCTTTGGGGCTCTCCGAAATGCTTTTGGGGTCTCCAGTGATCTTTGAGGCCCACCAGTGGTCTTTGGGGTTCTCCAATGGTCTTTGGGGCTCTGAAATGCTTTGGGGGTCCACCAGTGATCTTTGGGGTTCACCAGTGATCTTTGGTGATCTCCAATGGTCTTTGGGGCTCTCTGAAATGCTTTTGGGGTCCACCAGCGATCTTTGTGGTCCACCAGTGATCTTTGTGGTCCACCAGTGGTCTTTTGGGATCTCCAGTGGTCTTTGGGGTCCACCAGTGGTCTTTGGTGATCTCCAATGGTCTTTGGGGCTCTCCGAAATGCTTTTGGGATCCACCAGCGATCTTTGGGGTCCACCAGTGATCTTTGTGGTCCACCAGTGGTCTTTTGGGATCTCCAGTGGTCTTTGGGGTTCTCCAATGGTCTTTGGTGACCTCCAATGGTCTTTGGGGCTCTCTGAAATGCTTTTAGGGTCTCCAGTGATCTTTGAGGCCCACCAGTGGTCTTTGGGGTTCTCCAATGGTCTTTGGGGCTCCGAAATGCTTTGGGGTCCACCAGTGGTCTTTGGGGTCCACCAGTGGTCTTTCGGGATCTCCAGTGATCTTTGGTGATCTCCAATGGTCTTTGGGGCTCTCCAAAATGCTTTTGGGGTCCACCAGTGATCTTTGGGGTCCACCAGTGGTCTTTCGGGATCTCCAGTGGTCTTTGGAGCTCTCCAATGGTCTTTGGGGCTCTCTGAAATGCTTTTGGGGTCCACCAGCGATCTTTGGGGTCCACCAGCGATCTTTGTGGTCAACCAGTGATCTTTGGTGATCTCCAATGGTCTTTGGGGCTCTCCGAAATGCTTTTGGGGTCTCCAGTGGTCTTTAGGGTTCTCCAATGGTCTTTGGGGCTCCGAAATGCTTTGGGGTCCACCAGTGATCTTTGGTGATCTCCAGTGGTCTTTGGGTGTCTCCAAAATGCTTTGAAGTCCACCAGTGGTCTTTGGTCATCTCCAATGGTTTTTGAGGTCTCCAAAATGCTTTATGGGGTTCACCATTGGTCCTTGGTGGTCTCCAATGATCTTTGGGGCTCTCCGAAATGCTTTTGGGGTCCACCAGTGATCTTTCGGGATCTCCAGTGGTCTTTGGGGTCCACCAGAGATCTTTGGGGTCCACCAGTGGTCTTTGGAGCTCTCCAGTGGTCTTTGGGGCTCTCCAAAATGCTTTTGGGATCCACCATCGATCTTTGGGGTCCACCATCGATCTTTGGGGTCCACCAGTGATCTTTGGGGTCCACCAGCAATCTTTGGAGCTCTCCAATGATCCTTGTGTCTCTCAGACATGCGTCGCGCTTCCACCGATGATCTTTCGATCTCTCCAGATGATCTTTGGGATCCGTCCCCAACGCCTCCCATCCCACCCCCTAAATCCCCCCTCCCCCCTTTTTTCCTCAGTGTGTGCCGACAACAACCACGTCCGGACGTGGACGGTGACCCGTTTCCGTGGGATGATCTCCACTCAACCTGGATCCACGCCGTTGGCATCCTTCAAAGTTTTGGCTTTGGAGGACATCGACGGCCACGCCGGTTGCGCAGCCGGCACCGACATCGGTAAGGGGTCGGCACCGGGGTGGGGGGGGGGTCACACGGGGGGTTTTGGGGGTGGGTTCTGAGTGCCCCCCACCCCGTGGTGTGGACAGGACCCTTCGGGGAGCGCGACGACCAGCAGGTCTTCATCCAGAAGGTGGTGCCCGACACGTGCCGCGTCTTCGTCCGGCTTTCGTCCACCGGTAAGAGGTGAGAGGGGGGACTGGGGGGCTTTTGGGGTCTCCAAAGGGTTTATGGGGGTCCCTCAAGGGCTTTTGGGGGGTCCTGGGGGGGCTTTTGGGGTATCCAAAGGGTTTATGGGGGTCCCTCAAGGGGTTTTGGGAGGTCCTGGGGGGCTTTTGGGGTCTTCAAAATGTTTTGGAGGGGACTTCTGGGGGGCTTGGGGGTCTCCATGGGGTTTATGGGGGTCCCTCAATGGGATTTGGGGTGTCCTGGGGGGGCTTTTGGGGTCTCCATGGGGTTTATGGGGGTCCCTCAGTGGATTCTTGGGGTCCTTCAATGGGTTTTGGGGTCCCTCAATGGGTTTATGGGGGTCCCTCAGTGGATTCTTAGGGTCCTTCAATGGGTTCTGGGGGGTCCTTCAATGGCTTTTGGGGTCTCCATGGGGTTTATGGGGGTCCCTCAAGGGGTTTTGGGGTGTCCTGGGAGGGCTTTTGGGGTCTCCAAAGGGTTTATGGGGGTCCCTCAATGGGTTTTGGGGGGTCCTGGGGGGGCTTTTGGGGTATCCAAAGGGTTTATGGGGGTCCCTCAGTGGATTCTTGGGGTCCCTCATTGGGATTTGGGGTTCACCCTTGGGATTTGAGGTTCCCTTTTGGGATTTAGGCTTCTTTCGTTGGGATTTGGGATTCCCCATTGGGATTTGGGCTTCCATCCTTTTGGGATCTGGGCTTCCATCCTTGGGATTTGGGGTTCCGCATTGGGGCTTAGCCTTCTATCATTGGGATTTGGGGTTCTGTCATTGGGATTTGAGGTTCCTCTTTGGGATTTGGGCTTTTATCGTTGGGATTTGGGGTTCCCCTTTGAGGCTTAGTGTTCTATCATTGGGATTTGGGGTTTTCCTTTGGGATTTGGGCTTCCATCCTTGGGATTTGGGCTTCCATCCTTGGGATTTGGGGTTCACCCTTGGGATTTGAGGTTCCTCTTTGGGATTTGGGCTTCTATCGTTGGGATTTGGGGTTCCCCATTGGTGCTTAGTGTTCTATCATTGGGATTTGAGGTTCCCCTTTGGGATTTGGGGTTCCATCCTTGGGATATGGGGTTCCCCTTTGGGATTTAGGCTTCTGTCGTTGGGATTTGGGGTTCCTCTTTGGGATTTGGGCTTCTATCCTTGGGATTTGGGCTTCTGTCGTTGGGATTTGAGGTTTCCCTTTGGGATTTGGGATTCCGTTGTTGGGATTTGGGGTTCCATCCTTGGGATTTGGGATTCCCCATTGGGGCTTAGTGTTCTATTATTGGGATTTGGGGTTCCATCCTTGTGATTTGGGCTTCTATCATTGGGATCTGGTCTTCCCCATTGGGATTTAGGCTTCCATCCTTGGGATTTGCGATTTCCTTTTGGGATTTGGGCTTCTATCACTGGGATTTGGTCTTCCCCATTGGGATTTAGGCTTCTATCAATGGGATTTGGTCTTCCCCATTGGGATTTAGGCTTCTATCAATGGGATTTGGGGTTCCCCATTGGGATTTAGGCTTCCATCCTTGGAATTTGGGGTTTCCCTTTGGGATTTAGGCTTCTGTCATTGGGATTTGGGGTTTCCCTTTGGGATTTGGGCTTCTGTCGTTGGGATTTGGGTTCTGTCGTTGGGATTTGGGCTTCCATCCTTGGGATTTGGGCTTCTATCATTGGGATTTGGTCTTCCCCATTGGGATTTAGGCTTCTATCAATGGGATTTGAGGTTCCCCATTGGGATTTAGACTTCTGTCGTTGGGATTTGGGGTTCCCCATTGGGATTTAGGCTTCCATCCTTGGGATTTGGGGTTTTCCATTGGGATTTGGGCTTCTATTGTTGGAATTTGGGGTTTCCCTTTGGGATTTAGGCTTCTGTCGTTGGGATTTGGGTTCTGTCGTTGGGATTTGGGTTCTGTCGTTGGGATTTGGGCTTCTGTCGTTGGGATTTGGGTTCTGTCGTTGGGATTTGGGCTTCCATCCTTGGGATTTGGGCTTCCGTCGTTGGGATTTGAGGTTCCCCTTTGGGATTTGGGCTTCCATCCTTGGGATTTGGGGTTCCCCATTGGGATTTGGTCTTCCCCATTGGGATTTAGGCTTCTATCAATGGGATTTGGGGTTCCCCTTTGGTATTTGGGATTCCCCATTGGCATTTGGTGTCCCCCCATCCCTTGTAGGGTCTGCGAGGTGCGTGCTGTGGATGGTTCCACCATCACTGCCTTCACTGTCCATGAGTGCGAGGGATCGCGGCGCGTCGGGTCGCGGCCGCGCCGGCGCCTGCTGACCGGGCACGCCAATGGCAGCCTGCAGCTCTGGGACCTCAGCACCGCCATGGAGATGGGGGGCAGACCCCAAGGTACCACTGCCCCACAGCAGCTGCCCCACCTGCCCTATAATCCCACTCCTGTAGCCGTGTCGCCGTAGCTGTGGTCCCAAAATGGCGGCCCTGTTGTGGTGGTCCCAAAATGGCGGCCCCACAATGGCGGCCCTATAATGGCGATCTTACAATGGCGACCCCATAATGGTGGCCCCATTGTGGTGGTCCCACAATGGAGGCCCCATTGTGGTGGCCCCAAAATGGCGGCCCCATTGTGGTGGCCCCAAAATGGCAGCCCCATTGTGGTGGTCCCATAATGGCGGCCCCGCAATGGCGATCCCATAATGGCGGCCCCACAATGACAGCCCCAAGATGGCGGCCCCACAATGGCGATCCCATAATGGCAGCCCCATAATGCCAGCCCCACAATGGTGGCCCTATGGTAGTGGCCCCATAACGGCGGCCCCATAACAGCGACCCCACAATGGCGGCCCCATAATGGCAGCCCCATAATGGCGGCCCTATAACGGTGATCCCAAGATGGCGGCCCCAAAATGGCAGCCCCATAATGCCAGCTCCACAATGGTGGCCCTATACCAGTGGCCCCATAATGGTGGCCCCATAACAGCGATCCTACAATGGTGGCCCCATAATGGTGACCCCATAATGGTGACCCCATAACGGTGACCCCATAATGGCGGCCCCATAATGGCAATCCCACAATAGCGGCCCCACAATGGCAGCCCCACAATGGCGATCCCATAATGGCGGCCCCATAAGGGCAATCCCATAAGGGCAATCCCTTAATGGCGATCCCATACTACTGGCCCCATAATGGTGGCCCCATAATGGCAATCCCACAATGGCGGCCCCAAGATGGCGGCATCACAATGGTGGCCCCATAATGGTGACCCCATAATGGCGATCCTAAAAGCGGCCCCATAATGGCGACCCCATAATGGCGGCCCCAAGATGGCGACCCTACAATGGCGATCCAAAAAGCAGCCCCACAATGGCGACCCCATAATGGCAGCCCCATAATGGTGACCCCATAATGGCGGCCCTATAACGGTGATCCCAAGATGGCGGCCACAAGATGGCGGCCCCCATAGCGTTGACCCCGTAGCGTTTGTCCCACGTTCAATGGCCCCCATGTCCGCTCACTATTTGTGTCCCCCCCACCCCCCTTCCCCAGAGCCGGGGGTTCCGACCCCCCAGGAGCTGCTGCAGCAATTGGAGCACTGCGATCTGCTGGGACCCCCG